ATTCTGAAAGGGATGAATTGAATAACCGATTTTTTCAAAGAATTTTAACAATTCTAAATTTGTAGATACATAATTTAACTCTGATTATGTATCAAAATTTAAATTCAAAATATGCAAAATCTAGAAAGACGAATTTTTATCATTCTATTTTTTTTAATTTTACCAAACATTTTATCAATCACAAGCCTGACAAGTGGTAAAAGAAGGTTGTATTATCTTACCTTCAAAATGCAACAAAACTTGCCTGCTTGTCAAAAGTTACGTATGTCCACGTAACGTTTGTATTGCATTCTGCAGGAAACTCATCACCCAAGTACTTCTTTAAATGTGGATCTAATTTCACGGCTCCCTGAAAAAATGGAAATAATAAATGAAAAGACAAAAATGAAATAAAATTTATTTAACAATTAATGAATTAAAATCTCGATCGACACCTGATAAATTATCAATATCTCTCATATATTAAAATTAGTTCGCAATCTGCGAGATTTCTGGTAACTGAATCAGATTATTTGTGATGTTGTTTACCGTATTATCTGCAACCGGTAATCCTGAGATGGGAATTTTCATTCCACTTTCCGATTTCTACCGTATAATCTTCATTGCATCATGAAGTTTGTTTCCACATACGACTAGGGATAACAAACAGTAAACAGGATAATGTCCACAATAGAAATAGCTTGCCTTGAAAAACTCTAACCTTTTAATTCATAAACCTTATGAGAAAATTAAATATACGAATGGATATTTCCTTTTCCTTTAGAAATTTACCTCGCTAAAATTTCCATTTTCTTTTTTTTTTTTGAAAAGTAACTAGAAAATATTGAAATTTTGAAAAATAATCTGGCAAGAAATTAAAATTTATATCAGAATACAGGAATAGCCATTTGAATAGCTATTTGAAAATCAATGTTTATCCCGTAATTATGCTTTCTGTAATAATTGGAGGATACTTCGTGTAACATTACTTGTCTGTTCCTGACTTCTTAAATTTCCGGAAACAAAATATAACCGGCCTTATTGAAAAGAAGGAGCTATTTCAGTCAATTAGATGAGAATAAGAAGGCAGAAGATCCGGAATATAATGATACTGATTTCAAATTTACAATATACGATAAATTTAGATTGCTTACCTTTACAAGATTTTCCGGAAGGCGTATGTCTATTTCTTTCAGTGGTTTTGAAGCGGTATGAAAATGTGCAGCACCAAATTGATCCGGTCCCATCAACTTTACTTCCTTTGTTCTCTTCTAAAAAATTTTGGTACATCTGATAATAATTGTCCAAGCGGGGAAAGCGTAGACGAATATTAGAACACGGGGAAGAATACGAAATTTTTATGAGTTTTAGCGAAAACTAATGAATGTATTATGGAAATGAAGAAGTATTTTTGAATGCATTCTATTTTGGATATGTTTTAATTAATTTGAAAAATTCCTCCTCACAAATTACCATTTCCACATTAATCAGCATAACACTTTGTAATAGTTAGTTGAAAAAACTTCCTGTCGCAATTCAACTTTGAACCCGTCGATGTCGCAATTCAATTTTAAATCTATCATTATCACAAATTGTTTTCTTTTTAAATCTTTTTAAACATTTCAACTGTCCCAATCTTCATACACATCCGCACATACGCATACATGCCATTTTATCCGCACGCGCTATTTCAGGCGCATACACGTACACGTATTGCATATATATATATGTTACTACAAACGTATACACGTATACATGTTATACATACACATACGTAATACGTAAACACATCTCATATATATACGTAATGCATAGAAGGATACGTAGGCATACACATACACGTCGTACATAAACGCATTCTACACATGTATACACGTACACATACGTAACACGTAGAAACATACGTATGCATATATGTATACGTATATTCACACATATATAATTTACTTTCATTTATAGCTTCCAATACTTGTATTTTTCCAGATAATACACGTATCTACGTAAGGGATTGAATCTGATTAACTGATTGGTTGATTGATTAATTGATCTGATTAATTGAATGATTGATTGGTTGACTGATCTGGTTAATTGAATGACTGAATGATTAGCAATATCAAATGTATGCAATTAATGTAATAGTCATGTACGATTAATGGTAATAGCAATAATTTTTTTTTTTTATACTTTTATTTGCATCCACAACTTTTTCTTAGGGAAAAAAAAGGAAAAAACTTTTAAAAAAATAGAAAAATGAGAGGTGCAACAAAAATATGCAAATTTTCTTGCATGAGATTATAAGGTATTCTTTTTTTTTTGATTGAAAAAAAAAGTGAAAATGAGGTTACTTGAGATTTGAAGGAAATTTTCTTTTTTTCACATATTCTTTAATTGTATGTAAATGAAACAAATCAATCTTTGATCTCAGAATGATGTAATCATTGCTTATTTGAAGAAGGAATTCATTGTAATTAAAATATGTTTAATCAATCATGAATGGATAATGCTTTTCAATTATCAAAAATCTAACTGCTTGTGATTTTTTCAAGAAAAAAAAAAAAAAAACAATTTTCTTCAAATATACAAAAAAATATATGGCACTAAATATGAGGTAAATATAATTTCTTGCCAAATACAAATTAGAATGAAAATTAAAGTTTACGAAAAAAAAAAGAATTATAAACAACAAAATTTATATAAATAATACGCCAAAAAAAAAAAAAAACAATTAATGAATAAAATGAAATTTCAGAAAAAAATAAAACAATAAAACAAAAGTCAAAAAACAAAAAGTGTTACATTTTCTATATCATTTCTAACATTTTTCTAACACATACATCAAGTATAACAAAGATGTATTAATTTGATAAGAAAAAAAAAAAACTTAATTAATTAAATCTTTTCGGAACATTTCTTTTTTTTTTCGCAATTATACGGAGAATGAATACATTTAGTTTTAAAAGAATATCATAAAAGGATTCACATAAATTTAATTAAGAAAAAAAGAATTTGACGGATGTGACAAATGGGTGACATAAAATGAAAATTGTAGTAATTTATAAAAAAAAAGGAAAAAAACAAGTATTTGCAAAACAAAAAATAATTGAAATTTTTATGACAACTAAACAAAATGAATAAAATTTCAAAATTTTGCGAATATGATAAGATATGGAATAATATGATGGCTAAGCAACTGTTGATGAATTATTCAATTTGACAAGAGCACGAAAGAAATATATCAATTCGGCTTGAAGACGCGCTTCCATCATTATCAGTAATACGTGTACCTAAAAATTTAACTTTTACTCTTAAATTAATTCTTAATTAATCTTTAATCGAATTAAAAATGAAACTTGAAAATGTTACTGGATGATGCATACTATTATATTTAATATTTTATCAAAAAATAAAAATAAAAAAAATAAAACATTTAGAAAAATAATCTTTACTATTTTAAATTTGTGCTTGTACTAATAGTAAAATTATGAATTCTTAATTAAAATATCATTTCAAATTTTCATAAAAAACGATAATTAGATCAAAGATTACATTTGCTTTTTTTTCTTTTCACTTCCCCAACTTTTAATAAAAAAATAACGAATACAAACAAACATATACATATATATAGATCAGATGTAAAGAAGATAATAAATACATCGTCAGTTTATTATAATTTTTTAAATGTTCACAGTAATTTTTAAAAAAAAGAAAAAAACTGATGTTTGATTTTATATTAGAAATATGAGCATATTAAATCAACCCGCTTATCAAAAATTATCAAACCTTTTCAGAAGATTTAAAATCGATCATCACAGACTGTCGTAATGAATCTGTTATTTCATGCGGATGACAACATGTCATCTTGATAAATGTTTTCATTTTACGATCTAACATTACATTCACTTCAGCATAGTTATAGTCATCATGGCGAATACCTAAAATTTGCATATTTTTTATCATTTAATGATAATTATTCGTTCAGCTTTTGATTTTATTTCAATTTCCATTTCATTTAATTCATCAAATGACAAGAGGAAAAAAGTGATTTTGAAAGTTTAAAGATCAGTTCAATTTTTTTTTTTTCGTTTTGAACTTCGCAATATAAAATTACCATAAAGCTAGCAAAATTGAGTACTCTGAAAAAGATCATCATAGTAAATGGCATTTTATTGCATATTTAAATACTTACAAGTACTGAATGATGATTAATGCTAATTATTCATTTTACATATTTACTACTTATTTATCCATTTACTCAATAACTTTTTTATCCATCCCAACATTTATTACTTATTCACTTATTTACTTAGTAATATATCGATCCATTCACAGATTTATTATTCAATTACTTATTTACTCAGTAATTTGTCTATTCATTTATATATTTATTACTTATTTACTTGGCAATTTATCCATCAATTTATACACTTATCATTTATTTGTTTATTTGCGCAGTAATTTGTCTACATATTACGCATGATATTATAAAATACTATGTAGTAATGCAGAGAAAGAAAAAAAAGACATATTTTTACTTTAGTGTTTTAAGTAATAAAACTTATTAATTAATGCTAAGCGCAAATGTTCCAATCTATATTTCCTAGCTGATAAGAATAAATAAATAAATAAATAATGTTTTACCGTATAATGATTGAATGTACATCCAAATCGCATTTCGATATTTACTTGTATCAACGTCACTGTAAGCACCCATCCTGAAGTGATGAAATAATTTAAGGCTTATTTTTTTAAAATTTGAAAATTTTACAAACAATTCAACTAATGAAAAAGAAAAAAAAAAAAAAAAAAGATCTACAGAGAAAATATAACATGTAAAACAATAGATGGGATTAATAACTGATCATTAATTAACTAATTAATCATGACAAGATATCATGGAAAGATTAAATGACAACAATTAATAATAATAACAATAATTAATAATAATAATAATAATAATAATAATAATAATTAATAATAATAATAACATAATAATAATAATAATAATAATTAATAATAATAATAACAATAATAATAATAATAATAAT